GAACAGTTGTTGTTCAGCTGCAGCCTGACGTGTTCTCTGATACTTTCTGCAGCACAGTAAACTCACCACATGTATTTATCCTTCAGCTTCGGTGGCTGGAAGCTGCTCTTGGACATCAACATCAAGGCTCTGCAACAATCAAAGTGAAATGATCTTCAGTGTTAGAGCACATTAACAGAGCTGACAAGAGCATGGGTGAAGGTTTCTGTGAGGTGAATGGCGGTCTTCTGAGCTGCTGCACCTCATCGGGTGGAGGTCAAACATGGGTGGCTGAAGCTCTGCCAGCTCAATGGCAGTGATGCCAACAGCCCAGATGTCACACAAATGGTTGTATCCACCCTTCTTCTCTACTGCAGCCACCTCAGGAGCCATCCTGGACAGAGACACATGAGGACAAATGGGAAACTGTGAGGAGAACTCAATATCTGAAGCACCGATTTCAACCGAGCGCGCACACACACAACAGTCATGTTCTCACAATGATTTACTCGATAAACTCTCTCATTTCTCTTTGTGATCTCACAGATAGCACACAGCCCAGCCCAAACAAACATCACTCTAATATTTCGTTGGACCACCTTTAGCTTTCTTTCATTTTATTGTAGAGTTGTTTCCACAAGTTTCTGCAATGTCACCAGATTTATTTCCATCGTTAATGTTCCACCAAGATCTTGCACTGACGATGGTAGAGTCTGACCGCTGCACAAAGCCTTCTCCAGCACATCCCAAAGATTCTCAATGGGGTTAAGGTCTGGACTCTGTGGTGGCCAACCCACATGTGAAAATTATGTCTCGTGCCCCCTGAACCACTCTCTCACTATCCCAATGGATCCTGGCATTGTCATCCTGGAATATGGCCGTACCATCAGGGAAGATGGAATAACCTGGTCATACAGGTAGTCAGCTGACCTCATTCTTGGAGCACATCCTGTTGCTGAACCTAGACCCTGACCACCTGCAGCAAGCCCAGATCATAGCACTGCCCCCACAGGCTTGCACAGTAGGCACTAGATATGATGGGTGCATCACTTCATCTGCCTCTCTTCTTACCCTGATGCACTATCACTCAGGAAAAGGGTCCATCTGGACTCATCAGACCAGCAATTTTTTTTTTCAATTATCTTTTTATTGGGTTATTTTCAATGTTATTAATCACATACATCCCAGGGGGAGGAAAGGGGCATCATAAAAAAATCAAGAGGAGTAAATTACATAAATATAAAATGAATATATATATGCTCTGCCCTAACAGACTTAGGACATCTTTGCCATATAGTTTGCTTTCACCTCTGCTAAAGATCTAGTAAAGGTCCCCATATTTCTTGAAACACATCTTTTTTGTTTTTTAAAATAAATGCACGTTGTTCCAGTCTCAGAGTGTCCTTTAGGGTCTGTAGAAACAAGTTGAGTGACGGAGGTTTTCGATGGTTCCAGCACAGAAGAATACATTTCTTTGCTATGTCGGATATGACATTGATCCTCTTGGCGTGTGAGGGGTGTAGTTTCTTGTCCAGAACTGTACCGAAGAGGTAGTATACAGGGTTAATGTCCAGTTTTGGTGATACCACTTTGGCCGTCAGGTCATGTACTGCCCCCCAGAACTGCTTGAGTTTCTTGCATTCCCAGAAGACATGAATAACCGATCCACTGCTGGATCTACAGCGGTGGCATCTTGAAGACGTATTGGGGAACATCTTGCTTAACCGAAGCGGAGTGAGATAAGACCTATGCATAAACTTATAGTTCTGTTCAATAATTGTGTTACAAGAGAGGGAGGAGAAAACATTCTGACAGATTGAATCCCACTGCTCTTCATCAAACAGTTTTGAGGGGGGCGAAGGAGGAGTTACGTTGCTCCATTAAGGCATTATAGATCCCCGAGATTCTCCCCTTCGACGGCCTGGATCTTACGATAGTTTCCTCTAGAGTCGAGGATTCCATGGACAGGTGACCCTCCTTCGTGAGAGCGTTACTGATGTGGCGAATTTGAAGAAATTTTTAAAAATCTTGCTTCGGAACATTATACTCAGTTCTGAGGCCTGAAAAGGACTTGAGTGTGTTCTGGAAGAACAAGTGTTGAATTTGAGAGATACCTTTATCTCGCCAATCTGCAAACAGGGACATGACAATATTTGTTGGTAAGTCTGCGTTGTACGATAAGGGGGCAAATCTGGAGATTTTTTTAATCGTTCCATTTAATTTGTTGGCATCTCGCCATACCAGGAGGGTGTTGTAAACTACATAAGTTTTGGGTGTTTGTTGAAGAGCTTCTATGCTGCTAATGAAGAGTAGGTCTGCTAAATGAATGGGATAACATAGTTCTTCTATGTCTATCCACGTGGTACCTTTTTGCCTCTGCACCCAGTTAGCCAGATTTTTAATCTGAGCAGCCATATTATATCTCTGCAGGTCAGGTAATGCCAATCCACCTTTTGATCTATGCTTGGATAAGGTTTTGTAGGCTATTCTGGGAGCTGAATTTTTCCATATAAACATGGTGATATGTTTGTTCAAAGCTTTAAAAAAAGTGTCCTTCAAATAGCAAGGGAGAGATTGAAACTAGATGGGGAGCATATTCCAGTGGTTTAGATCCTCCTTCATTTTCTGTATCAATGGATCATAATTCAGTTGAGTCAAATCTTTAAGTTTTGGCGACACCGTGATTTCTAAGTATTCAAAGCCATCCTGGGGCCAGGAGAAGGGCACTAGAGTTTTTAAGGCTTCCGTAATAGGAGAGTTTATTATTGCTATTTTTGATTTGGATGAATTGATTATGTGACCTGATATTGCTCCAAACTCTGTTAGCAGTTCTAGAATTTTGGGGATCATGTTTTCAGGTCTGGACAGGTACAGAATTATATCGTCCACATATATTGAAATTTTATTTTCGACTTTTCCGATATTTATACCAGTGATTCCTTTATTATTTCTTACTGTTTCTGCAAATGGTTCTATAGCTAGATTGAATAAAAATGGAGAAAGTGGGCAACCTTGCCGATATCCTCTAAATAAATCTAATTTGCTGGTGAGGGAGCCGTTTATGCAGATTTGGGGCTTGTGGGCAGTTATACATATTTTTAATCCATCCAAAACCCAGTTTTGGTCATTTCTGCATCTCCATAGATGTTTTCTCCGCTTGATGCCGATGATCTGAGTCTTCCCACCTGGTTGTTTAGGAAATGAGAAGCAGCTCATACAGTAATTATCCAATAGTAGGCTCGTACCTATTTGCTTAGTTAGATCCAGGTGAGGACTTTTTTGCGACAGGCAGTGTATAAGGACACAGTTCTAGCATTAGTCGTGAGTAGATATCAGCCCACACTCAAAGCTCACCACTACTGAAGAAGTCTTGAGCCTCTCTCCTCTTATTGCAAGTCAAGAGTTATTTCAGTGTCTGCATCTGCTGAGCAGAGTCTGTGGGCTGTAGAGGTTGTCCGCTAACCTCCAACCCCCACCCCACTCAACCATATGTAGCCATGAGTTAGAACCACACTGTCTGTGTGTGGTGAAAACACTTTTAAACCTAGGTTTAATCTCAAATCTCCAAAGGATTTTACCCCAACAGATAAATCAGAACAGATTAGTTGGAAACGCTCCACAGTCAACAATAGGCTGAGTCTGACAACAAGCAAGGGAAGGAACTGAGGTGGTCAAAGGTCAACTATCTCCTGTCCAAGCCCAGGTCTACCTCCAACACTGGATGACCCCAGTAACATCTAGCCCAGTAACATATAGTCCAGTAACATCTACTCCAGTAACATCTAGCCCAGTAACATCTAGTCCAGTAGCATCTAGTCTAGTAACATCTAGTCCAGTAGCATCTAGTCTAGTAACACCTAGTCCAGTAACATCTAGCCCAGTAACATATAATCCAGTAACATCTAGTCCAGTAACATCTAGCCCAGTAACATCTAGTCCAGTAGCATCTAGTCTAGTAACACCTAGTCCAGTAACATCTAGCCCAGTAACATCTAGCCCAGTAACATCTAGCCCAGTAACATCTAGTCCAGTAACATCTAGCCCAGTAACATCTAGCCCAGTAACATATAGTCCAGTAACATCTAGTTTAGTAACATCTAGCCCAGTAACATCTAGTCCAGTAACATCTAGTCCAGTAACATCTAGCCCAGTAACATCTAGCCCAATAACATCTAGTCCAGTAACATCTAGTCCAGTAACATATAGTCCAGCAACATCAAGCCCAGTAACATCTAGTCCAGTAACATCTAGCCCAGTAGCATTTAGTCTAGTAACATATAGTCCAGCAACATCTAGCCCAGTAGCATCTAGTCTAGTAACATATAGTCCAGCAACATCAAGCCCAGTAACATCTAGTCCAGTAACATCTAGCCCAGTAACATCTAGTCCAGTAACATCTAGCCTAGTAACATCTAGCCCAGTAACATATAGTCCAGTAACATATAGTCCAGCAACATCAAGCCCAGTAACATCTAGTCCAGTAACATCTAGCCCAGTAGCATCTAGTCTAGTAACATATAGTCCAGCAACATCAAGCCCAGTAACATCTAGTCCAGTAACATCTAGCCTAGTAACATCTAGCCTAGTAGCATCTAGCTCAGTAACATCTAGTCTAGTGACATCTAGCCCAGTAGCATCTAGCCCAGTAACATCTAGCCCAGTAGCATCATTCCAGTAACATATAGTCCAGTAACATCTAGTCCAGTAACATCTAGCCCAGTAGCATCTAGTCTAGTAACATCTAGTCCAGTAACATCTAGCCCAGTAGCATCTAGTCTAGTAACATCTAGTCCAGTAACATCTAGCCCAGTAACATATAGTCCAGTAACATCTAGTCCAGTAACATCTAGCCCAGTAGCATCTAGCCCAGTAACATCTAGCCCAGTAACATCTAGCCCAGTAACATCTAGCCCAGTAACATATAGTCCAGTAACATCTAGCCCAGTAGCATCTAGTCTAGTAACATATAGTCCAGCAACATCAAGCCCAGTAACATCTAGTCCAGTAACATCTAGCCTAGTAACATCTAGCCTAGTAGCATCTAGCTCAGTAACATCTAGTCTAGTGACATCTAGCCCAGTAGCATCTAGCCCAGTAACATCTAGCCCAGTAGCATCATTCCAGTAACATATAGTCCAGTAACATCTAGTCCAGTAACATCTAGTCCAGTAACATCTAGTCCAGTAACATCTAGCCCAGTAGCATCTAGTCTAGTAACATCTAGTCCAGTAACATCTAGCCCAGTAGCATCTAGCCCAGTAACATCTAGCCCAGTAACATCTAGCCCAGTAACATCTAGCCCAGTAGCATCATTCCAGTAACATATAGTCCAGTAACATCTAGCCCAGTAGCATCTAGTCTAGTAACATCTAGTCCAGTAACATCTAGCCCAGTAACATATAGTCCAGCAACATCTAGCCCAGTAACATCTAGCCCAGTAACATCTAGCCCAGTAGCATCTAGTCTAGTAACATCTAGTCCAGTAACATCTAGTCCAGTAACATCTAGTCCAGCAACATCTAGCCCAGTAACATCTAGCCCAGTAACATCTAGCCCAGTAACATCTAGTCCAGTAGCATCTAGCCCAGTAGCATCTAGTCTAGTAACATCTAGTCCAGTAACATCTAGTCCAGTAACATCTAGTCCAGCAACATCTAGCCCAGCAACATCTAGTCCAGTAACATCTAGCCCAGTAACATCTAGCCCAGTAACATCTAGCCCAGTAACATATAGTCCAGTAACATCTAGCCCAGTAGCATCTAGTCTAGTAACATATAGTCCAGCAACATCAAGCCCAGTAACATCTAGTCCAGTAACATCTAGCCTAGTAACATCTAGCCTAGTAGCATCTAGCTCAGTAACATCTAGTCTAGTGACATCTAGCCCAGTAGCATCTAGCCCAGTAACATCTAGCCCAGTAGCATCATTCCAGTAACATATAGTCCAGTAACATCTAGTCCAGTAACATCTAGTCCAGTAACATCTAGTCCAGTAACATCTAGCCCAGTAGCATCTAGTCTAGTAACATCTAGTCCAGTAACATCTAGCCCAGTAGCATCTAGCCCAGTAACATCTAGCCCAGTAACATCTAGCCCAGTAACATCTAGCCCAGTAGCATCATTCCAGTAACATATAGTCCAGTAACATCTAGCCCAGTAGCATCTAGTCTAGTAACATCTAGTCCAGTAACATCTAGCCCAGTAACATATAGTCCAGCAACATCTAGCCCAGTAACATCTAGCCCAGTAACATCTAGCCCAGTAGCATCTAGTCTAGTAACATCTAGTCCAGTAACATCTAGTCCAGTAACATCTAGTCCAGCAACATCTAGCCCAGTAACATCTAGCCCAGTAACATCTAGCCCAGTAACATCTAGTCCAGTAACATCTAGCCCAGTAACATCTAGTCCAGTAACATCTAGTCCAGCAACAGAGGATCTAGAGGAAGGAGATTCATCTCACCAGTACGGCGTTCCAATAAAAGATTTCCTCTTAGCAACGGAGGCGCTGATCTCTGCTGCCACTCCAAAGTCAGCTAAAACACAGGAGACACACGTTCACTTTTCCATCATAGCCTGCTGACCTGGTGTGTGTGTGCCTGGTGTGTGTGTGTGTGTGTGTGCCGGGTGTGTGTGTGTGTGTGTGTGTGTGTGTGTGTGTGTGTGTGCCTGGTGTGTGTGTGTGTGTGTGTGTGTGTGTTTTCAGTATAAATATCCACTCACCCAGTTTGACGTCTCCTTTCTCCGTTAACAGGATGTTGGCTCCCTGCAGACAACACAAACACTTTTATGTGTACGGGCCGACCCACGTGTGAGTGTAACTCTACAGAAACACACTCGCACCTTTATGTCTCTGTGCATTTTGCCGTTTTCATGCAGGTGATACAACCCCTGATGAAGACAGGATACAGTATGAACATTTGGTCATGTCATGTCATCTCAGTGCGTCCAGTTCATCAGTAGCTGCAAACTAAAAGCTTGGATCTGTCTGCAGACTTGAGCTGGGTGAACCTGGGGGTCTCACCTGGAGGGTTTCTCTGCACACAAACGCTATCTGCTTCTCCTTTAATGGACCAGTCACTGTGAAGAGAGGGAGGAGACACCCCATAAACAGTCAAAGAGCCTGACTGACCTGCTTCTCTGTGACGCTGCTGCTACTACCGCTACTACTGCTGCTGCTGCTACTACTACTACTGCTGCTACTGCTACTGCTACTACTGCTACTACTACTATTACTACTACTACTGCTACTACTTCTACTGCTACTACTACTACTACTACTACTGCTACTACTACTAATGCTGCTGCTGCTACTACTGCTGCTTCTGCTGTTACTGCTACTGCTGCTACTTCTACTGCTACTACTACTACTACTAGTACTGCAACTGCTACTGCTACTACTGCTACTGCTGCTACTGCTACTACTACTGCTGCTGTTACTGCTACTACTACTGCTACTACCGCTACTGCTGCTGCTGCTAATGGTACTTCTGCTACTGCTACTACTACTACGATTACTGCTACTGCTGCTACTGCTACTTCTGCTACTGCCACTATTACTACTTCTGCTACTGCTGCTACTACTGCTACTGCTACTTCTACTGCTACTACTACTACTACTACTGCTACTACTGCTACTACTACTAATGCTACTGCTGCTACTGCTACTGGGTGTGTGTGTGCGCGCGCATACCCTGGTACATATCCTGCAGTGAACCTCCACCACAGAACTCCATGCAGATCCACAGCTTGGTGTTCCTGCAGACGAAAACAGATGTTTTATCTTCAGACTGGCTGATGGGAGTAAAACACTCACCATAATAAATTAGGTCAAGTTCTAGTAAAATGAACATATTTACATTCATCAATATTTATTACTTAGGGGTAGGGACGTCCCGATACAACTTTTCTCACTTCTGATACGATACCAATATTGCAGCCTTCATAATTGACCGATACGATATCAATCCGATACGATATCGGCACAAATCATACACACGTTTACCTATTTTATTGTGTGGAATGTATAAAAGGCTTGATCAAGTGATTTTACTCAAACAGAAAACAAAACCCAGCAAAAGGAAGTATAAAAAACTGACCAGTTATTTATTAACCTTTGGTTGCATACATGTGAACAGCTGAGCTTAGGGACATGTGGAAAAACGCAATACTGTTCACTGACCAACTGCTACAAGTTCAGAGTCTAAAGTTTCTATTTCACAGACTGCGAAAATCCTCCTGTTGTGCTTAGTGATCCTGCTTCAAACGCACGGTGGGGTTGGACGTGTTAATCTAGTTCTGTTCCACCACAGAAAACGGGTGCATGGCAAGTGTTGCACTGAGCCAAGCTGACCTTTTCTGAATTTAAAGAGAAATACAGCCACATGGCCGACACTTGCTACTTTGCTAGCGCACACTGTTCTGATCATGTGGACGTTGCATGCTGGATCTGGGAGTTGCTGGAATGCAATTTAAAGCGGAACATACTGCTGATATCGGAAATTTTGATGCAGTCCAATATAATCCGGTAGTATTTTTGGGCCGATATCCGATATCAATATCGGAATGGGACATCCCTACTTGGGGTCAATTTGCAATTAAAGAAGCAACGATTCCCAGTTAAAATACAAGACCTTCTATTACAGTGTTTTTTTTACATATTTTTATTGTGATTTTCAGAATGTTAAACAAATGTTACACAAACACATTAACCACAGTCTCACAAAACAAACAAACAAAGATTAAATAAATACACAAAGTGAAATAATAATAAAATTACAAAATTAAATAACACGTATTAATCATGAGTTTCCAAGAACTTTATATAAGGTTTCCAAATTAATTCTAAATCGTCCTTTTGCTTTTTTACAATGTGTGTCAGTCTTTCCAAAGTTAGACATGTCATCAGTTCTTTCCTCCACATTTGAATAGTGGGTGTGTCCATATTAGGGCTGCACAATATATCGCAAATATATCGTTATCGCGATATCAGCATGCTCAATATGCATATCGCAAATAAACAGATAAATATCGCAATGACTAGTCAGCTCAAATGTTTGCTACACATAATGCATTCTGTTCATCAAACGGAAGCATGATGTTTTTTTTAACTAATCAAATAGAGCTCTTCATCCATTTGGCCAATTGGGTGGGTTCTCATAGATTAGATGCCGCCCCGACACTTAACTTGGATGGTTAGCAAACACCTGAGTTAGCTTTGTTCTGCTCTTTCTGCTGATTCTACTTTTCCTGGGATCCACTGATTGCCTTTTCTTGTTTGATTTCTTTTTCCCTTTACTCAAATCTTTTGCTTTTTTCATTGTAATGATTTTTTTAGTCATTTTTTAATTTCTTTGTTTTTGATAAATTTTGTTCCTGAGTTAAGATTTTATTTATGGCCAGTAATAGCGTCATCGCGATATTAATCACTGTTATCACATATCGCAGGTTTTCCTGATATCGTGCATCCCTAGTTAAAAGTAAGTCAGCTAATTTTAAATGTTTTTTTAGATCCAAATAAGTTAGCTATGGTTGGTTAGTTGCTTAGTAGTTGCAGCTTTGGTGGCTAGCGGGTAGTAACTCACTTATTTATTTAATTTAATAAACAAATACACAATTTAAAAAGTAAAAGTCTCATTATATATTTATATTGAAACTAATACATATAAAATCTAATGTTATCTCCCGTGTCACATGACATTACGTGACCGCCGTGGAAGCCGCGGTCACGTGATGCAAGTCTGTTTCATTTAACTGTTTTCTTTGACCAAGGAAGGACAGTGTCCTCGTAATTACGGCGCCTGGCCTAGCAAGTCATCGCCTTGTAATTTTTTTATTTCTTTGTTTTTAATCATTTTTGTTCCTGAGTGAAAATTTTATTTGTGGCAAGTATTATCGACATCGCAATATTAATCACTGTTACCGCATATCGCAGGTTTTCCTAATATCGTGCAGCCCTAGTACATATTCTCCCACAACAACGCAATTATCCTACTGGCTTGCAAAAGTCCAAAGTCAACAAGCACCGTCGGTCTCTGAGTTACAGAAAGCTTTTCCGGGTATATGCCCAGTACACAAAGCTTAGCACACAATGGAACTGTCTTTCCAACTATAACACTTGTACGTCCAGTTACATTCCTCCAAAAGTGTTGTATCTTTGTGCATTCCCATAGGCAATGGATTAAAGTACCTTTATCCGTTCTGCACTTTACACAGACATCTGGAATAGTAGGGAATATATGGTTTAGCCGGTTAGGTGTAAAATATGTGCGCATCAGCCATTTATATGTAGCAACCTAGACGTAGTATTGATAGATTGAGTCTGAGCTTTAAAGCAAGCCATATTCCAGTCCGCTTCATGGATATCCTCCTTGACTTCAGCCCTCCACCCTTCTAGTTTCTTTGAAGAAGATTATTTGGAATGCATTAAAAGTGTATTATAAAATAGTGAGATCTGTCCCTTTCCGTTCATTTGAGATATTGTCGAATCTTCAATTTTTGATAGTGGAGGTAAAGATAACCATACATGTAGATCAAATAAAATGTTTCAGTTGGAGGTATTTAAAGAAATGTTTCTTTGGAATACCAAATATCTCGCACATTCTCAGTGCTGTCTTTGACACAATTTATCACAATGTTCTTTTGGAAAGACTTGAACATGTTGTAGGGATCAAAGGAACAGCGCTAGGCTGGTTTAAATCCTACCTATCTGACAGATTTCATTTAGTAAACGTACATGACAAATCTTCTTCATATTCCAGGGTTACTTGTGGAGTACCACAGGGTTCAGTGCTTGGACCAATTCTTTTTACTATATATATATATATATATATATATATATATATATATATATATATATATATATATATATATATATATATATATATATATATGCTCCCAATTGGTAAAATCATTAGACAGCATGGGATAAACTTCCACTGCTATGCTGACGATACTCAGTTAACCCTGATGAACCTAATCAGTTAGGTGGATTACAGACTTGTCTTGAAGACATAAAAAAATTGGATGACTCTAAACTTTCTGCTTTTAAATCAAGACAAGACTGAAGTTCTCATCTTCGGACCTGAAATTCAGAAAAGGAAATTGCTTAGTCAATCACCTGACCTGAACGGCATTAAATTAGTCTCGGAGAACAAAGTAAGGAACCTTGGTGTTATCTTTGACCAGGACATGTCATTCAAATCCCAGGTTAAACAGGTTTGTAGAATTTCCTTTTTCCATCTTTGGAATATTGCTAAGATTAGAAGCATCCTTTCCAGGAGTGATGCTGAAAAACTAGTTCAAACATTTATTACATCAAGACTGGATTACTGTAATTCATTACTCTCGGGAAGTCCACAGAATGTAGTTAAAAGTCTTCAGCTTGTCCAAAATGCTGCCGCTAGAGTTCTGATGAGAATTAAAAAGAGAGATCATATCTCTCCTGTCTTAGCTTCCCTACATTGGCTGTGTATGGTTTTGTCTCTGTGATCAAACATCTAACAACCTACCAGTATAATGGTCTGCGTCTGTGTCTTCCTTCATGTGTCTCCTGATGTTTCTCCATCCCTCTCTAGATTCCCTTCTGTGTCTCATAGCGCCCTCATGTGTCTTTTGTCTGCGTCTCAGTTGTGTCTTGTGTTGTTACCCTTTTTAATCATTCCTCCCAGGTCAGCTCCAGCCTCCTTGTCTCCAGCTCGTTGTACGTGTGTGTGAGTGTATGTGTGTGTGGTTGTGTGTGTGTATGTTTGTGTGCGCGTATCCTCCCCAACTCAGTATAAGTGTGTGTGTGTGTGTGTGTGTGTGTGTGTGTGTGTGTGTGTGTGTGTGTGTGTGTGTGTGTGTGTGTGTGCTATGTCCTCCTCCTCTGTCTTTAGATAATTGTTGTTTAGTTTTGTGTTTAGGTATTTGCCCTCCTCTGTTTCTTTTTTCCCAGTTAGATTATTAGATTCACCTGTCTTCCCTCCAGCCCTCACTCCACACACCTGCTGCCATTTTCCCTAATTACTCCTCCCTGGTATTTAAGCCCTGTCTTGTCTCTGTCTTGTGTCGGTCCATTGTGGTAATTCGGTCAGTCTCTCGTTCCTAGTCTCTAGTGCTTCTCGTGTCTCAGTTGTATCTCTAGTTTATTTTGGATTTTGGACATTTTTGGACTTTGGCTCCCTGCCCTGGATTTATTCTTCGTTTCATCCTTCAAAAATAAAGGATTTTACTTTACATCATCTCCTGCCTCGTGTCATCCTGGGTACTGCATTTTGGGTCCTACAAACCTCTTATCATGACAACCAGAGCTGGGCTCACACAAACTGGTTAAGAATCAGAAAAAGTGATGACAGTACCAACCTGTCCCCTGTAGGGTATAAACTAATATTGTAGCAGTAAATACTGCCTTGCTATGTCTGAATAAATCACACGCTGGGGTCTAATGTTGTTTTACTGATCACAACATGTCCTGTAGGTCAACAATAGTACGCATCTGCCAAACAAATAAACATAAACAAACGGAGACCTGATTACTACAAAGTCATAATAATACTAACAAGGCTGTAAAATTACAGAGAAAGGATAACAGAGAACAACAGCAGCTGTTGTGGTGAAAATATGATGGGTAAAGGATGTGGGAGAGGAATCCAGCCTCAAAGTCAAATCCCACTTCTTCCAGCCCACCAACATTCCCGGGAATCCCTCCCAACTGAACCGGAGCTGAAAACACGATACCTGTGGTAGCTGCCGAAGTACGCCACAATGTTTTTGTGTTTGCACTCCTTCATCATAGTGATCTCCTGCTGGATGGATGTGATGTCATCACCTGATCACACACACACACACACACACACACACACACACACACACACACACACAATTGCGTAGAGTGGACACATACTGTTAGACTCAATTCTACAACTAGTCTCCATTAAGAACCATCTAGAACAAGGATGTCCAAAAAATTTCAAGATGAGAGCCAAAAGCACGAAGTTAAAACTCTGCTCGGGCTACAAAAATGAGAAAAAATTGTAATAATGCAAACATTATTTTATATTTTTCATTTGTTCTGCTCAAAAACATCTAAACGTGTGTGTGTGTGTATATATATATATATATATATATATATATATATATATATACGGTGTATATATATATATATATATATATATACGGTGTATATATATATATATATATATATATATATATACGGGGTATATATATATATATATATACGGTGTATATATATATGTATATATACATATGAACATAAAATATTAAAATATATGAATTCATATCAACAGTCTCCTGGAGTGACTTAATTCCACAATTCTAAAAACACTAGTGAGGGCCACGCAAAATCCCTCTGAAGGCTGCAAATGGCCCCCCGGCCACACTTTGGACACACCTGATCTAGAAACATCATTTGTGTTTTGCTGTTGGTGTACCGGCTTCTGGATGTGTTTGATGCAGCAGCTTTATGAATGTGTAGTTTTATATGCCAGGGTAATCCAGGCTGTAGTCTGACCAGATCAGAGCACCACTACAGACTCAACCATGGTGGTCAAACAGCTCAGAGAACAAGGCTGCTTGGTGCAAAGGCGGGATTTAGGATTGGAGATATCTTTGAACAAATCTCTGAAATGTTTCAGATGAACTTAAAAGTATGAAACTATTGTTTAATCAGTGCATTTGCAGTGATCTCTAGCAGGAACGAATGCCTTGTAAGTCTGGGGAAATAATTTACTGGTGCACTATTTCCAGGAACTAGAAGTGACCACATCACAGCTGAGCTTCAGATGGCAGCTTTTGGAGGCTTATTTCCTGATACAGTGATCCCTCGCTACTTCGCGGTTCGTTTATCGCGGATTCACGACTTCACAGATTTTTTGGGAGCCTTATTCAAGGGAAATTCGCCGATTTGCGGTATTTTTCTATGCGAAATGTCAAGAAATTCCTGTTCATTTTCATCAATTTCATCATAAAATGCACTTTTTGTAATAAAACTATAAAAAACCAAGTAAAAAAAATTTTTTTTCTTGAGTTTTACCCACAAAAAAAGAATGTGATCATACGATAATTCAATATAGTACTGTATGTCAGACAGGTCGGCTGGATTCGGGAGTTGAGCTTGTAGGGAGCGCGTGGTTTCACAGACGCGGAAGTGAGAGCGTCGGTGAAACGCCGGCTCACGAATAATCTAGGAAACCCCCGAGCGTTCGAGCGTCAACGAAGTGACAAGGAAATGCCGGGCTTTCCAGAAGTAAGTAAGATAACTTACTATGAGCTGACAGTTCGTTGGATTGATCGGTAGGTTGGAAACTCTGATCATGAATCTGAAGAAATGATGACTGAGTGGTGAGCTGGAAAGGCGACTTCCGTTTATAGCCGCGGTTTGTGACGTAGGTGCGACGTGGAGGGAATCCCCGCGAGGGGCATGCTGGGAGTCCCTACTTCGCGGATTTTCACCTATCGCGGCCAGGTCTGGAACGCATCTACCGCGATAAACGAGGGATCACTGTATGTGGACATCTCTCCTTGGATTGGATAACAGCAACAGGACTCTACCACTGACTTGAAACACTCATGTTTTATCTCCACAAACAACACAAGCCTCTGCTGTGTGGTGGAATTGCTAATGCTAGCTGAGCTGTCCTCTGCTAGTAACCTTACATTAAACCAACAACAGCCTTCCCTGTCCTGAGCCAAGATGGGTGAGTCCATAAACATGAAGTGACAGTGTGACGTAGATCTGTCAGGGTTTTCAAATCCAAGAGCTTCACTGTCTGTTTTCTTTTAAAAGCCGGTGCAGGAGATAGGTGTAGGAGACTATTTTCATGTTCAGTCTGCATGAAAAACTCAGAGAGACCCATTAGAATGAGAAATAATCATTAAAAATGCTTCTTCAGTGAACCACACCTTTAAATAAAAGAACATTTTACTGTGTGTGAGGCATGAGCCAACATGCAGCCTGATCTCTTACCAGGGTCCAGCTTGACAATCTTGATAGCTGCCAGTTCTGATGTCTGGATGTTACGAGCCTGGAAGGGAAGAAAAGTCATGATGGCTTCAGCACTGATGAATGTGAAGGTTTAGGAAACCACATGTCATCATTTAGCAGCCAAGGAAGACCCTGCAGCACAACACACACACACACACACACACACACACACACACATATATATATATATATATGTATGTGTGTATATCTGACGGACGGACGGATAGATAGATGATGGTGATACAACCCAGGTCACACCATCCTACACATGGTTACTTACTATATTTACTTCTGTATGACTACTAACAGGAAACTATGACTATTACTGTTCACTACAAACCAAAGTACTTCCTGAAATGAGCCTGGGTGTGAAAGTGTATCTGAAAGTAAAGCAGGTAGAGTTATGTGGGTTTCTAATGAATCACCAGAAATGAAATCACACCTGCTCCTCAAGTCAGACGAGATCAAACCTGGATTTGGACAGTTAGGTGAAGCAGATGTAGTATTGATAGAACTCGCCAAACATTTGAACCTTTTGAATGAGAAGTGAAACATCTTCAAAGATCCAGTCCAGTTGCCATACTTTTAGGGTTGCCATGTTTGTAGTTATGTTTTTAAACTCATTGCCAGTAATAGTGTGTTTAATCAAGCTAATAGCAAAAATATTCTGACATACTTTATTAGAGAACACATGATGCAAGTCTTTGTACATGAAGCTCTTGGTGTCTATTTCTGTCTCCATTGGAGGATCACACTGTTTTGTTCCTGAGTGATGGGTTAGGAAGGAGAAGAGAGTCATCAACGGAGTCAGCTGAGGTGGTTCTGGTGTCTGATGAGGATCCACACCACTTCTTAGGGTTTTGCTAATTGTTTCATAGGTGTGGTTTAGTATAATATACAGGGGTCTCATTTATCAAACATTGCGTAGAATCCGTACTAAAACCGTACTTAAGCTCAGCAAAAAAAATGTACTTACACCAAGCAGGTTTGTGATCTATCAAACATGGAGTACGCACAGCTGCACGCAATCTCTGCTTCATGCATCGGAGACTATCTAGAATGTTTCTCAGCTGCATTTTAGTCACATCCTGCCCTCACCACGCCCACTTACTGCCATAAATAGTCAATGCAAAGTGCCTTGTGGATCTCATGCATATACAAAAGCCGGATGTTGCAGCGCTCCGCCAATGACATGGCGACCGTAGATCAAGGAAGCACAATTTCACAGAAGCAGAAGTTGAGGTACTTGTGGGTGAGGTGGAGAAATGAAAGGAAGTGCTTTCGCAAAACAAATAAGAGAAAATCCACGGAGTGGCACAGCGTTGCTGAAGCCGTCAATGCTGTGAGTTCTTCAGAGAGATCTGTGGCGGATATAAAAAAAATGGTCCAATCGAGATTCAATCCCCAGACTCTCGGGTGAAAGTCCCGCGTGCTAACCAGTCAGCCAAACGGAGATCTCCCCTGTTTAACTAGCCAGGACGCATGATCAATCGGGTCACATTGACAGGACACACACTGTCACAGACGCGCGCGCATGTGTGTGCGTGTGGGGTTCTTGTTCTGTGTGTGTCACACAGTGAAATGTGTGTTTTCGGTTGCTTTACATTCTTTTAATAATTGTTTGAATTTCTTAACAGTTTAGTGTGATTGCATGATTTTCTTCTTCTTCTTCATGTCCGTTTAAATGGCGGTTGGCAACCAACTTAAGGTGCATTACCGCCACCTACTGTGCAGGAGTGTGAGTCAGAGCATTGCATGATTTTGCTGTGTGTTGTTGGTTTTATGTGCATGTTTAGTTTAGATTGTTTTGCCACTGTTGACATGACAGTCACCTGAAGAGGTGGGCGTGACTGTGAGAGCGCACCAGGTGTGCATAGTTAGCAGGCTGATAAAAGGAAGAAGCTGCAGGACTGCGGGGAAGAAAAACAGACCGAAGAAACAAGAAGGCAGAGGGACTGCACTAAAAGGTTCTGCCCCAGTGTTCTGTGCTTGTCAGAGAGGAGCGGCGAGAGTCCCGGGGAGATCACGCCTGAGACGAGAGCGAGACCAGAGACTGCTGGAGTCGGACGCCGAAGCCGGGACGTCGCCTTTCCCATCCTGGAAATTCCCTCCGCTTGACTTTGTGGATCTGGGAGGAGCCCAAGTATCTTTGGGGGTCTTCTTGAAGAACATGTTTTAATTGCTTTTATCGACTCAAACTTTTTTTTTTTGGTTTTACATACTTTTAGACAGGGGTTTTATTTAGTCAATAAAAGAGGTCGCCGACAAACTTCTGCTCTCTGGTGTCTCTGCCCCTCTGGTTTTGCACCCTCGCTCTGTGTCGTTGTGAATCCCTGGTGTGGCGCCTGAGCTATGCAGCTCCAGTGTTGCCTAGGTTACATGTGAAAACGAAGCAGTACAAGTGATAATGCTGCAGGATTTCATAATTTTATCCTTCTCAGCAGCAGCACTGCAGGTGCTCTCCATGTCCAAAATGTGTGTAAGCCAGTTCCTTAGTCAACTTAAAGTTGCGCACATTTTTCCGCTAAGTTTTCTTTGATAAATCCCAACGTTTGCGTGGAAAGTTGCTTACGCAGTTTTCCGACCCCGTTTTGTGCGGCTTGATAAATGAGGCCCCTGGCCTTTGGTCCAACATTTCATTTTTCTATCATTTACAGTTAATCAATAAACCTCTCGAAACAAGCACAATGACCTGTCTGCAGCCATCTCCAGTCCTGGTCATCCATCCATCCATGCATCCATCCATCCATCCATCCGGGGCAGCAGCCTGAGCAGGAAGGCCCAGACTTCCCTCTCCCCCGCCACTTGGGCCAGCTCCTCCGGGAGAATCAGTCAATTTCAATCAACTTTATTTATATAGCACTTAATCCTACAATACATGGAACTCAAAGTGCTTAACAAATTAAAAGGGCCCCACATACCCACATTCCCTCCCATCCCCAGAATTTTAAAAACAGTCTGACAATAAAAACCCTTCACAACACTCCTCCACTGACACACACACACACACACACACACACACACACACACACACACACACACACACACACACACACACACACACACACACACACACATGCCCCCTTCCCCATGGTAAAAAAAAAACACGATTGGCTGAGATCAGATGAGCCAGACCAGCTAAGATAAGGATAAGGAAACGCCATCAGGGGAGCCATCCGCCCCGACAGCAGCAGATCCACAGCAGCAGCCGAGGCACTGACACCGGGCGCCCAGGTTAGGGAGTGCAGAGACCCCCACCTCCACCCAGGCACACGTGGAAAGCACCCAGGCCGCCACAGTCGACCACCGCCGCCGGGGCAGAGGGCTCCCACAGAGGAAGCACTGGAAAAAGGTTAAATTAAGGTTAAAATATAAAATCCAAAGAGCTAAAATGAGAATTGTAATATATAAAGTTATATAGATATTAAAATAATGTTGATCATAAATCATGGAAAAAACTGTTTAAAAAGCACGTATAAAGAAAGAATACATTAAATCAATAAAATAAATAAATAAACTAAGTAATTAATTACTTTAGAAAGTGAGAGTATTCAGTTAAAAGCTAAGCTGAAAAGATGGGTCTTGAGCCTGTTTCTGAAAACATGAACGTTCTCAGCAGCCCTCAGGTCCCCTGGCAGCTCGTTCCAGAGGCGAGGACCGTAGTACTGGGAGGATGCCTCGCCGTGAATATGCGTCCTAACTTAAGGGATGACAAAGAGATGACTGCCAGAGGAGCGCAGAGACCGCGTGGGTTTATACTGTAAAAGCAGTTCTGAAAGATAAGAAGGCCCAAGACCATTAAGACACTTAAAACCATTAAAAGTATTTTGAAATCGATCCTGAAACATACGGGGAGCCAATGCAGTGATTCTAAAACTGGAGTAATGTGCTCCCGCCTCCTGGTCTTCGTCAGGACACGTGCAGCTGAGTTTTGTAATAGTTGTAAACCTGAAATCCTCTTTTTAGGAAGACCTGAAAGCAGGGCATTGCAGTAGTCTATCCTACTGGTTATACAAGCATGCATCAGTGTCTCCAAGAGAGAATGGGGCGGACTCTGGCGATGTTCTTTAGATGATAAAAACCTATTTTGGTGATATTTTTAATACGATGGATAAAAGTCAGCTGAGAGTCAAAGATGACACCCAGGTTCTTCACTTGTGATGATGGATTAAGAGACAGTGATTGTAATTTTGGTAAAAGTTTCTCTCTCTGGGCCTCAGAACCGATGACTAAAACTTCAGTTTTGTCCTGGTTGAGCTGGAGAAAGTTTTCTGCCGTCCAGGATTTGATATCAAAAATGCAATTAAAAAGTGTGTCCATTGGCTGTGTGTCATCAGGAGACACAGAGATGTACAGCTGTGTATCATCAGCGTAACTGTGGAAATTCACCCCGTGTCTCCTGATGACACTGCCAAGAGGGAGCATATAAAGGTTAAAAAGCACTGGGCCTAAAATTGAACCCTGGGGCACACCACATGTAATCCCATGAACCCTCGAGGAACAGGTATCCAGACTCACCATAAAAGTCCTGCCTGTGAGGTAGGATGTGAACCATCGGTGAACAGCACCAGAGAGGCCGATCCGTTTCAAACGAGTTAAAAGAATCGTGTACCGTATCAAAGGCAGCACTTAGATCCAGTAGAACCAACACAGTCACCTTCCGTTTGTCATAATTTACTCTAAAATCATTTAAAATCTTCCAAAGGGCTGTCTCGGCGCTGTGGTTCACCCTAAAACCAGACTGACATTTTTCTAAAACATTATGGGTGTTGATAAAATCATTGAGTTGGATTAAAACAAGCTTTTCTAAAATTTTGCTTAAAAATGGTAAGTTGGATACCGGTCGATAATTGTTTAAATCATTAAAATCTAATTTGCTCTTCTTCAGCAGAGGCCTCACCACCGCCCGTTTGAAAGCGGCATGAAAGACCCCCGTCTGAAGGGAGCAATTCATCATAGTTAAAACCTCATCTTTAAAAGAATCATAAAATTGTTTAAAAAACCTTGTGGGAATAGGGTCCAAGACACATGTGGTGGGTC